TACAGATAGCACGAGTCTTAGAGTGAAATGAGGGGTTCGATTCCCGTATACGGTTTGAAGTTTTGCATATCACTTTAGCGGATATGCATTTTTTTCGCAGTAGTTTGATTGAACGTTGTTATTTTATCGTAACTAATCCGTACTTCAATCTAATGAATTCCGTGTTATCTCACCAGTTAATGCACTTCAAAGCATAAGTCGGAAGATCTATTCACACTAACCCCTTCGGGACCGTGGAATCACGGCTTCTTCATCTCTGGCCCTTGGCTTGTTGGGTCTAACAGTGGCAAGTCGGGGTTGAGAGGTCCAGGGGATGGAGCAGATCGTCCAGAGTTGTCGGTTAGAGATGCGGAAGTCGCGAGCCTACGGTCCCGGAAGGGCTAGGGCTACTCAACATGAAAATGAAGACTATCTCACAAATTGTTCATAGAAAAACGTTACGCGAGGTTGTTATATTTTCCTCAAACTCGATTGACTGGCGTTTCGGCGACTTTGCTTTTCTTAGAGCCTAGACGTACTTTATCATATATGTAAGTATTCTGTTAATATGCCCAATGATGCAGAGTGATGCACAATATTTTTGCGTCAAGCGGGACTCAAACCCGCATTTCACCCTATCTGGTGGCGCGTGATCTCATCCGTTGCAGTAGCGACGCCTGTTTTGCACCCCGTTTTTGCCGACCACCAAACCAAACCGTCGCTGCTGACAGACTGATTCGTTGTAGTCTAGAAAGAATGGTAGCAGAAGGCGTCGATAGCGCAGCTGGTTAGACACACGCCCTTGGATAGAGAGAGATGTGGGTTCGAGTCCCGCCAGATGCAGAAAGTTTTGCATATCACTCTACATCATTGGGTATATCTACAATATTATAGCACAGCTAAAAGCGGATAAATAAAAGAATTTTGTTTGATCATTCTTGAATAATTTCTATAACATGTTAAAAATCTAATACATATTTCAGCTCAAAAAAAACTAATTTGAACTGATCTTTGCTATAGATTCTTACCAAATATAGAAGCAAGTAGATTAAAAAAAAACTTGGTACTCACAAACTAGACGGCGACAAATGAAAAACCCATCTCATTCCCTGAAAGTGTTAGTAATCATTCAAAAGCTCAGATTTCTGGCTATAACCCCACTTGGCCGATTTTTGAAAAAAAACCCTTTATAGTGCTGTAAAATTCAAGATAATGATATGTTCCATACCCTCTTGGCGCCTTCATTGTTCTCACGCTTGCAGTTCGCTGGGAAGCACGAAAAGCATATCAACTTGTAGAGAATTTTCTTAGCATTTGAGTAATTCTTTTATCTGGAGTCCGTTTCAAAGCGGATCCCGTCCCGTGAATTGGCCGACAAACATGCTCGCCAAAAGTGAAAAATCTGAAAGATCTTATTCTTCCTGCTAATGATATTTTCAGAATAACCGCGTCGCTGGAATCATTGAAACTTGCGCTATCGAATGATTAGTAATAGTCTAAAGAAAGAGCTGTGTCTGGCGAGGTGTAAATTACAAATGTTTTCTTTCTTCTACAGCGCTACCAAAAGAGCTTTTTCAAAAAGCAACCGTATTTTTTAGTACATCGAAACGTGGGCTATCGAATGATTACAAGTACGCTGAGAAATGGGTTTTGTCCAGCGACATATAAGCGAGATAAGAAAAAAAAACACGTGGTTGTGTGAAACATAATTTTGTTTGTACTTTACAGCGCTATATAAAGGTGTTTTGGAAATCAACTCACGTAGCACTCTAGCCAGAGATTTAGGCTTTCGAATGATTACTGACGCTTCTATGAAAACTTCGTGTTGAGCACATGAGACTGGTTTTTCATTCGTCGCCGTCTAACATGTACGTATCAAAAGCTCTTCTATGATCTTGTCATGTTTACAGTTTCTTAGAGAGATAAAAAATAAAGTCTTATCTCTTGATAAAACCCTCAGGAATGCGACCTGATATCTATTCATCAATCCTGGATGGATGGAAGGCTTGCCGATCCTCGAGCGGAGGATCAGACCATTCACCGTGTGTGTATGGTACGGCGCCTCTAATCGCTGCGCCACACGCGCCTCAATAGAAAACTGCATATGATATGAAGTATTACGTCTAGGCTTTGAGAAAGGCGAAGTGGCTAAATGTTAGCCAACGATTTCCATTGAGATATACCAGTTTCGCACAAACTTCATTAAAATGAAAAGCTGTTCATTGCACGGCTCTATAGACTTTTCTTCCCCTTCTCTGAATCAGTTTTCAACCCATTGCGAATGGCATTTGATCGATCGCAGGCCGCGTTTTGCAATAGCCGTGCGATTTTCATTATGCAATCAAGGTTTTTCGCCGTTTTGAAAAATAAATTTCAGATTTTTGGTGTTATACTGGTACCCCATGATTTTCTCTACACGCTCATATGATTTGATGCGTACATAACTCTTATATGCGTTGGAAACTTTGAGGATAAAATGTGATATTCTTATCGTTTTTATGGCGCATATGAGGTCCTCTTTAGAAGCCAAACTTAGTTTTGTAATCAACGAGATTTGAGCTGTCAAATGACTACCAAAGCTCTGTTGAAAAGCCATCTACAGGCTTCAACTAAACAAACAAAGAAAAGCGAGTGTGAGACATAATTTTATTTCCGTTGCTACAATACACTGAAAAAAAAGAGCTTTGCAAGAATCAAGCGCAATCTTGAAATTGTCGTTTTTCAAGCTACTGAATGATCACCGAGGAAGATGAATTAGTTTCGTGTGGCGAAAAATTCAAAGTACGAGTACATCTATATGAATGCAACTCCCTTGACCGACTACCAGTTAACTACGACATTGATTAAATAGCTCCCAATTTTCTTATTCAGCAAGTACGAGGTCTCCAATTTGGAGATTTGCTCCGTATAGACGAACAGTACAATAACGTTGATCGTGATGGCTGACGTTTAATCTTCAAATTGACAACCTCGTACTTGTTGAATAAGAAAATCAAGGAGTCATATGAATGCAGTTTGTTTTCAAATGATCAGCGCTGTTGCTCAAAATGGTTTCAGCAAGGGGCAAGAAATTGTTCATATGGATGAGAGAAATTATATCTAATGTTTCATACTTCCGTTTCGAGTGTTTTCTTAAGACCACGCTCAAATTTCAATGTGCCTGATAATAATTTTTTGAGCCATGCATGTGGTCTATTATAGGGCAACTTGTAGAGCCCGATACACGCGTTTCGGCCTTGACAGTCCCATCAGTCGGTCGGTACCCTTTGTCTTTAGCCACCAGTCCTTCCGGGGAGATCCCAATTTCTATAAAGAAATGGCGACGACGAACTTTTTACACGTTCCATTAAGTGAAAATATCTCTGAATGAACAGTGTTTTACACTCGACTGCTCTACACTGTCCATCTCAGTGATATTTTCACTTAACCCCTAGTGGACGACGTGTACCAGCTGAGGTACACGAACGTTTGAACGCCTTTCTCGCTGAATAGAACTTTTCCATTAGACACTCTGTAGTCTTTCCAAAGCTTGAATCTGTGTGATTTCAACAATCTATTAGGTTTCGAAAAAGCATTTTTACTACGTTGTAGCAGCGAAAATAGTAATTACGTTTCATACTTCGTTTGCTTCATTTGCTCGGCTGAGGCTTTTATATGCTCTTTGCCAAAATTTTACTAGTCCCTCGATAACTCAACTCTGGAAAATTTCAACGTTGTATTCGGTTTTTGAAACATTGTTATAGAACGTAGTAAGAGCGGTAAAAGGTTACGTTTCGCACTCATTTTATTATACAGAAAAGTTACATATGCACGAAATACCTATGACCATGTAGAGAAAATTTTGGGGTATCAGAGGAACACAAGAGCTTGAAGTTTTACCTTTCAAATGGGGAGGAACTCTAATTAAATAATGAAAATCACACGCCTCTTGCGAGTTGCGCTGTGCGATGGATTAACTGCTGTTTTTAAAGGGTTAATGGAACGTGTAAAATGTTCGTCGTCGCCGACTCTTAGAATGGTGTTGGATCCCCTAAGAAATTGGCAAAAAAAGACGAAAGGTAGCACCCGACTGATGAGACTGTCAAGGTCGAAACACGTGTAGCGGGCTCTATAAGTTGTCCTGTAATAGACTACATGCATGGCTCAAAAATATTTATGAGGCATATGTTCAGTGTTATAAATATCCCTTTGGTTTTTATTCCCGGATTATAGATACTTTTGGGTCGCGGTAACCAACGTAATTTCTGTAGTTTTCTGTAGAAGTAAAACCTTTTCGCGCTGTTAGGATTTGTTATTTCCAGATTTGTCAAAATGCGTTGAACACTTTGGGTGTCGTCAACTATCAACTACGGTCTGATATTTATGAGCTTTTTCTACCAGACAAGGAACCTGTGGTAATTTATTGCTTCTCAAGAAATTTGCTTACGATCTTTTTTTAGATAATATCACGTCGTTTGTAACTTTAGGCATTAGCGCATTAACCATCAAATTTATTTACGAGAAAGAATTAAAATTGTATTATTCTGGTGTCGTTCAATTGCCCATTCTCTCCTGAACATTTTGGTATACAGCTTGCTTATACTCGCTTTAAGAGGGAGGTGTCTTGGCCAGCAAATTCTCTTTCTACCCACGCACACACGGCTCCTAGGGAAAAATGATAGTGAAGCTGCGCGCAAGATTACTTGAGCTTGAGGCGATGATACGGTTGCAGGAAAGACGGTTGGGAAGTGGTTCGCGAGGTTCAAAGCTGTGGAGATCACTCTGGAGGGCCACTTGCGCTCGGGCCGTCCACAGAAAGCAAGAGAATCTGTTCCCAAGACAGCTCCACCTTCGAACAAGTGAAGGCAAGTTGTATGCCAAATGTTCACATGAAATGCGCAATCGAACGATACCAAAATCATGCGATTGTAATTGTTTCTGGTAATAATAAATTTATTCCTACAATTCGAGTGCTTTATTAGGACCACGCTCAGATTTCAATAGATCCTTTCATTATTATTTGATCCAACTTGTCATGTGGTCTGTAAGGGCTCTTGTACAGCCCGATACACGTGTTTCGTCCGTTACAGACTCGTCAGTCGGGCAGAACTGTCGTCTTTCGATATTTTTATAGTCAGTTCTCTCGGGAGCTCTGCTCCTTTACAGAGAGTTATCGAAGACGAACGTTTTACACTCTATGTCAAGCGAAATTTTCACCTAACTCAGAGCGTTTTACACTCTATGTTAAGCAAATTCTCACCTAACACAGAACCCGAAAGACGACGTGTTCTGCCCGACTGAGGACTCTGTAAGGACGAAACACGTGTATCGGGCTGTACAAGAGCCCTTACCAGACCACATGACAAGTTGGCTCAAACAATAATGAAAGGATCTGTTGAATTGAATTTAGTGTTTATTGCTTTAGTGTCAGAACTTATGGAACGGCCTATTAATTAGTTCCCATTAAGGTTGATCTTATATTAATTCATGGTCTTTGTGGGAGTGTCGCATATACATGGAGGCAGAAAGATCACGCCAGTAATATTGTTTCAGATTGTTGGCCTAAGGTAAGTCGTACCGTCAAAATTTTCCTATAATTAATCCTCCTATCGATCGCTATTGTAGGATTGGCTCCTCCACTTGACATCTCAGATCCGATGCGAATTCTTGGCTTAGATTATCCGTCATATATAATGCAGTTCACTGGAGCAATAGAAAGTCTGCAAGTATGAATTTACAACTTCATTTGATTTTGTAAAACTTTATTTGGTATTTATATGTTGGTGGGAGGGGGGCGGGGCGGTCGCGTTGGAAATATTGTCATTCAATTAGAGATTTTTCACCGCATCGATAGAAACTTCAGA